AGAGAGAGAGAGAGAGAGAGAGAGAGAGAGAGAGAATAAAGAAGTAAACTATACCCAGATAGAAAGGAAAGAAAGGGACTTTACCTGCTCTGGACTCATGTATAGAAGAGTTCCTGTACGCTTTGTTCGATTTCCATCTTTCTCCATGGATGTTACGAGGCCAAAGTCTCCAATCTTTATGTGTTTTTCATCTACTAAAAATATATTACATGGCTAAAGAAAAAATAATTAATATATGTGATTTGAACCAACTATTGCTACAGGTACCAACAATTTTTTTATACTGATTTGCATGGTATTTATCCTTCCACGGGCCGCCCAAATTAGGGAATTTAATACCTTGGGTCTTTAAAATGCCAGGTGAAGAAAGATGAAAGACTTCTAAATGACAGCGAAGTGGCTTGGTTCCCACCTGCCTCCAAATATCAGAACAGCTGTCAAGTGAAAAGTTCACTTTGCAGGGTCCCAGAAGAGGTACCCAGGACTGGAGGGTGGACTTGAGTGAAAACATTTGCTTTCATACACCCTAATCTAGTGAAAGGTTCAAGGAATGGAGTTAGAACTCCCCATCCCAGAATAGGGCTAGTTATCCCCCTGAAGGCATGCTGCTGGTGTGATTCAGAGACTGATGGGAATTAAAACCCCTTCCAATTTTGAGAGTCTCTGAAGGAATCAGTTCTCAGCAATGCTGCAGGATATCCCATGCAGAATTTCTCCCCAGATTCTCATAATAGTTTAGTAAGTATATCCCCTCCATTTCCTAAGTCAAAGCTTATAATTATCACAAACACCTTTTCTATGCATTTCCTTTGGGTTTGTTTTGGTTGCCGCTGTTGTTTGGGCTGGAAGGGTGAGGTTTTGTTGTTGTTGTTGTTTGGTTTGGTTTACAGGGTTTCACATATCCTATGCTAGCTTCAACTCAGTGTGTAGCCAAGGATGACCTTGAACTTTTGAACCATTCACCTCCACATTCTGAGTTCCAGGATTAAGAGGAGGAGCCACCCGGCCTGGTTTATGAACAGCTAAGGATCAGATTCAGAGCTCCACGAATGCTCCAGTCACTCTAACAAATGAGCTACATCTCTAGTCACTCTAAGTTGCAATATTAAAGCATATTTTAAAAAGGTGTGTGTGTGTGTGTGTGTGTGTGTGTGTGTGTGTGTGTAGGACAATTTGTGTTATCATCTTTCTTTCCACATTCATGTGGGTTCCAGGAATTGAACTTAGATAACAAACATCTTTACCTACTGAGCCATCTCATTGGCCCACATGTGTATATATAAGCATGTGTGAGTGTGCACGCACACACATAACAAATGGTGGCCACATGTGTTACATAACTCTGTAGACAGTACTGACTGAAAACTGGAAGATTGTGGTGACAAAGTTAATATTTTTGCCATTCTTGTAAAAACTAGACACTTAATACCATGTTGCTACACACACACACACACACACACACACCCCTACATGAGGGCCTAGCTAAGGAATAAGAGATGCGATGAGATTCAAGTTCAATCATTGGATTTGAACTTAAAATCAGTAATGGAAGAAGGATATTTGTGTGTGGTAGACACAGGGAGACAATGTTCCCAAGCTAAACTTGGAGCAGTTGCATGGAATAGCATTTGGGGCAAGTTGTAGCAGACTAGAGAAATCAGCCAATCACAAATTGAAAACTAGAAAAAGATATAAAGTTATTAAACTGTGTGTTTATTAGCTAACAAACACATTTCTCACTTACCTTAAGGTCTCTGTGAATTAAACCTTTTGAATGTATATAATCCACCCCTGTTGTTATTTGTTCAGATAATTCCAAAAACAAATCATTGTCTACTTTCCTCTGCTTGCAATTTAACATCCATTGCTCCAAAGTTCCTTTATCATAGAATTCCATTTGAATGAAAAGGCACTGGGTCTTTGATCTAGATACAAAATTCATACTATGTTTAAAGTAGCAATGGAGAGAAATTTATTTTTAAAAAATTCTAACATCTTATGAAACCCCAAACATGTCTCAGAATGGAAATCTTAATATAGTAAATTTGAAATAAAATAAGCCATTTTATCTAAATCATAATTTCTCAAGTATCAAGAGCTTCAATTGTTTGTCTCTAAAGTATGAGCCTATATATTCTTTAATGAATATCTCTGATCAGTTTTGATAATATATATGAGTAGTCCTAATTGAAGAAATCCAGATTTTTCATTATTATATAAAGCAATTTGGAAGCATTTTAATTAATATTCAGTTAACTGAACATCTGTTTTACTAAGAGCACAGAACAGGCACCTTAAAAATGAGATGAGTTGCCGGGTGTTGGTGGCGCACGCCTTTAATCCCAGCACCCTGGAGGCAGAGGCAGGCATATTTCTGTGCGTTCGAGGCCAGCCTGGTCTCCAGAGCGAGTGCCAGGATAGGCTCCAAAGCTACACAGAGAAACCCTGTCTCGAAAAATCAAAAAAAAAAAAAAAAAAGAGATGAGTTAAGTACTACCCTTACCATCATGGGGATTAGAGTCTCACACAAGAGGGAAAATTTTTCTAAGATGACAGATAGCCCATTGAGAAACTCCTAGAGCCAATAAAGTGGCTGCTGTAAAACAGAACTCAGGAAACTGATTTTGTTAACCAGTTTGTATGTTCTTCTGTACTAAATAGGCTTAATATCAAATTTATATTTTCCAAACATACATGCTAGAAAATATGAAGATGCAGCCAATAATTCACTTACAGCTAAGGAAGCCTTTTATCTACTGATGGTCACTAACTCCTAGAGTTCTCAATGGCACAAAGAGGAGATGGGACACTGGCAGGAGGTGGTGGATGACGAGGTCTCCAGTGGCATCAGGATTTCAGTGAGAAGACTGTCCCCAAGATATCTGGATGACTTTCAAAGACATAAGCCAAGTTTGTTTGTTTGTTTGCTTGTTTGTTTGTTATTTCCAGTCCTACAGTAGGGGGTGAGCCAACACAAAGAGCAAGGGATGCAAACAGGGCACGCCCTGCCATAGCTCACCACTCCACCACAGTGGTATAGCTATAAGCTACATTCCAGAGTTGCACTGCCAGTAGCATCTGAGAAGGAAGACAGGCAAGTTTCAGCAATGGGAGAGGAGACCTTTGGATTTAGCATCTACATGTTAAACCTGTCTTTACTCTAGTAAACCACACATGATCTGCCCTGGCTCTACAGAGAACAAATGATGTCAGGAATGCTGAACGTGGGATTTTTAAAACAACTAAGGAAAGCCAGGCAGTGGTGGCGCATGACTTTAATCTCAGCACTCGGGAGGAAGAGGCAGGCAGATGTCTGAGATCAAGACCAGCCTGGTCTATACAGAGTGAGTTCCAGGACAGTCTCCAAAGTCACAGAGAAACCCTGTCTCGAAAAAACAAAACAAAACAAGCAAACAAACAAAGCAACTAAGGAAATTTTTAACATTTTTTTTAAAGATTTATTTTCAAATTAATGTGTCTGTGTCTTTCTGTGGGTATGTGTGCATGAATGCAGGTGTCAACAGAAGCCAGAGGATGCCCGGGAACTGGAATTACATGTGCTATGAGCCACCTGATGCAGTTGCTTGGCCCTCTGCAAGAGCAATTCGAGATGCATCGCTCCATCCCATTAAAAAAAAATATTTTTAAAGCAAGTTTGAGCTAAGCATACTGGCATGTGCCTGTGACCACCCTAAGGCCAGTCTGTGCTACGCTATGTAGTGAGTCTAAACAAAGAAATTGAAAGCAAATTCGGAAGATAAAGATGAGCAGGGAAAGATTATTTATTGCCTCCTTGCCTGTAGAACAAGAGACCACAGTATCACAGGGAGGTTGCTCTGATCATTAAATGTGATGATCCAACAGCCTCTTCTAGTGGTCCCCACACAATAAATGGCAAGTGCCTTCCATCCCATGCACCTGTGGGTATTTCTTCTTACCGTCTTGGATTTCTATCCGGGCTGTGCTCGGGATCATAGTCCTGTCCCAGCCAACAAGAATGGTACTGAACAATATTGATATGACTGAGTGCTGCCAACGCTTTTACTTCCCGTACTTCCTTCCTAGTTAAAATGACCCAGAAAACAAATGCATGGTTACCTATCTCTGATAACCACAGAACACCTCAAGGAACAGGATGCAACCACCGAAGTTCCTCTGTTCAGCAGTCATCATGGCTCCCACACCAAGTTTTAGCAGGGGAGCCAGAACTCAAAGGGGAACAAAAGAGAATGCGCAGAAGAACCATGGGTGTTCTCATTCTCAACACAAAAGAAAGGACAGCGGCTTATATGACAGACATCCAAAACTTAAACATTTGTATCTTCTTTTAAGTGTCTGTGACACAATTTTCACTAGCTAAAGCATATTTGATATTCTGTTTAAAAGATGTGTTGAAATCTCAGGGTTTTACAAGCGAATCCCATTTGGGCAGCAAAGGCAGGTAACCCAGGCAGCAAGCAGAACCCAATTTCAAACTTTCAGTGTACGACAAAAACACATAAAGGGACTGGTTTATGCAAAGAAGCTAAGACTTGGTACTATGAAAGTTTAACAAGGATTGTGTTCAAGAGCTAAGGCTCTGTGGGAGTTTCTTGAAATTTCCGTGTACTAGCTGGCGTTATGTCAACTTGACACGAGCTGGAGACATCAGACAAGAGGGAGCCTCAAAACGGAGAAAATGGAGAAAGCCCCCTTAAATAAGTCAACAGCTTAAGGGACCAGTACCATCTCAAAATGATGCTTTCAGATTTTTAAACTGAAATAAATACCCACTTTAAGGTATAGCCATTTCAAAATAAGCCAAACTCGTGTAGGCACAACAAAAACTGAAGGAGGGACCAGAATAAATGAATGAGTAATGAAGAACAGATATATAAAGAATGGGGAAGGTCCAACACACCATGTTCAAAAAGAGCCAGACATTTACTTACTCTGTGTTACAACTAACTCGCTTAATAGCATAAGTCTTTCCATCAATTCTGTGTTTTGCTTTGAAAACTTGGCCAAATCCACCTGAGCCAATTTCTTCTATGTCTTCAAAATCATTATTAAACCTAGTTAAGATAGATACTGCGGTTATTCTGAAGCTTAGTAAAGTGAAGATGATTCTTCCCTTCTTGTTTTTAATAACATCCAGTAGAACTCTTAAGTCACCTCTTTTGATAGAGAATTCAATATAACAGATCACCCCCCACCCCTCAGCTGTACATAAGACACAATGACGTATCCCTTCCCAGGGGGCAAAAAGAAGTTGAGGAATTCCCCTCCCAAGCGTTAAATGTAGAAAGCATCACACATTGAGTGCCGCGGGTACCACAGAGGAAGTGGAAGCCGTGCGCCCGCCTTGGGCTAGAACAACCGTTTCTTTCCCTCCTTATGCTGCACATCCCACCGTTAAGTTCTGGTCAGTCTTCTAACCCATATCACTACCAGGTGCCTCCTCTTCTTCATTTTCAGAGTCGTCACCCAGGGTCAGCCCTCAGGCTCCTGCAATGGTGGCCTGTTGCCTGATGCCCTATGAAGACTTGGTCTGATTGTGTGCATCTCACCTAAACCTCCTACTCCCCCCACTTCTCTCCCTACCTCATCCCATCACACTGTGTCATTATTACACATCGAGCACAGGCTTTCTCCACAGACAGCTGGCCACAGAAGGCTTTGTTTCCTTTTTTTTTTTTTTTGCCACACTACTGTTCTTCTTTAACTCTGGCCTTAGTAATTACAGATGTAGGTGTGTCATATAAATATGCGAATACATGTCATGTAACTACGGATACATGTTGTGTGTGTGGGTGTATGTGTGGGTGTATCTGTATAGGCCAGAGGTTGATGACAGAGGTCTTCCTCAGTGATTCTCCACCTTTGTTTTTTATTTTGTTTTATTTTTTGAGACAGAGTTTCTCATGTAGCCCTGGCTGTCCTGAAACTCACTCTGTAGACCAGGCTGGCCTTGAACTCACAGAGATATGCCTCCCTCTGCCTCCTGAGTGCTGAGATTAAAGGCGTGCGCCACCAACGCCCAGTTTACACTTTATTTTTGAGACAGGATCTTTAATTGAACTTGGAGCTCACTGATTGGTTATGCTGCCTGGCCAATGAGTTCAGTGGATCCACTCATGAGCCTCCACCACTTCCTCCTCCCCTGCCAGCGTCTGAGTTATAAATGTGTGTATTGCTACACCTGTCTTTTTATAGTGGCAGTTGGTATTCAAACTTAGGCCCACATGTTTGCTCAGCTGAGCTATCTCCACAGACCCATTTCCTTAATGCCAGTCATCACTTCAAAACTTTTGGAGGGGAAGAATTTTTACTTCTCCAAGAGACACTGACCCTTGGTGGGCCTGACTAAGCCACAGCTATTAACCACTTGGGTGGAACTATAACTTAGAACTCAACCTTAAGAAACTTTGTTTCGTGCCCATGCTGACCATTAGACAAGCTCCCCTTACCTGGAGTCCATGGTATATTTATTTCTTTGCACATCACTAGGTGACGGTTTTCTAAAATTGAGACAAAAATACAAAACTCAGGTGAAACTATAGCCTACATACGTAACTGGCTTTATGCTGAGTACTGGGGGTTATATATTTTTCATGAGCTGTCAAAATGACAGGAAGCAGGTGTTCAACTTGAGGAAAAACACCTCCTGTTGGTTCTCTTCTTATGACCTTTTTTCATCCCTTTCCTGTTTCTCATTTTCACCCAGACACACTCATCACTGGCCTGCTATCTCCTCTTTCTCCAGAATCAGAAAGTCCTTAGGAAGAAAGTCACCTGGGTCACTCCCTCTGGCCCTCATCCCTCACTGGCAATGACTCAATCGCAGTGGGATGTTCAGACATCACCTCAAACCAGACACAGCAATACTACCACATTCCCTCTTCACCCTCGATGAATGCCATCAGTGCCAGGAGTCTTCACTAATGTTGCCCCCTTCCTGTGCCCAGCTACTCTCTTCCCTCAGTCATGTCTGCCCTGCCTCGACAATCCTTCTCACAAGTTCCCCTCTTCCCTCCTCATTGCCACCGGCACCAGAGCTTTGCGTCTGCTCATATGGTGAGTTCCTTTTCTCCACCCATCGACCTCAGGAGTTGTGTTTTCTTCAATTCACTGCCCAGAAAATATTGGTGGCTCATTATGTCTCCTGCTGCTACCTTGCCTTCATTTCTGACTGTGTGTCTTTACTCTTCAGTGAAGGAAACCAGTTCCCTGTCATTTATATAAAATTTGGTCTTTAAAAAATGACAAGTTGCCGGGCATTGGTATTGCATGCCTTTAATCCCAGCCCTCGGGAGGTAGAGGCAGGCGGATCTCTGTGAGTTTGAGGTCAGCATGGTCTCCAGAGCGAGTGCCAGGATAGGCTCCAAAGCTACACAGAGAAACCCTGTCTCGAAAAGCCAAAAAATAAAATAAAATAAAATAAAAATAAAAAATGACAAGTTATTATGACATCTTTACCCTAGTCATCTACCAAAATATATATATATATATATATATATATATATATATATATATATATATATATACACACTTCCCTTAAAAACACTTCTAAGCCCAGATCGATCGTCAACAGTGTTTTACAAAATAACACTCTAAACTACTGTCTCTAGCTTCATCACCATAGGGCTTGATATCTACAGTACACTGTGTGTGTGTGGGGGGGGAGGTTTGTGTGCATGTATATGTTTCTCTTGAGCTAAATTGGTTAATAGGTCTCATGCTTTCCACTGCTTCTGAAATACCCTAAAATAAACAGGTATAACACTCTGCCAATACCACAGACACTAGGTGAAGCTGATAGACGAATCTGAAAAAGAACCCTAGTCCAACCTATGTTCATTGTGCAATGATACTCACACTCCTGATTTCCTTTTATTTTCTCTGAGACCATTCTGCAACACAAGGAAAAGGAAAGGCATTTCAGATTAGGAGAGCAATCATCTCAGTCCTGGGCTGGCTCTATGACCCAGTTCCTTAGTCTGTAAGGTCACCAGCTTCATACATGTGTGTAGTTTCCCAGAGTCTTCTACCAGTGACTATTGCAAGACCTGAACACTGCCGATCAAGCAGCTGGAAAATGGTATCAAATGGCTATTTTGATTTGTATTTTCCCTGTCTTCAGAGGAATAAGGCATCTTACATTTTACATTGTCTGTCATCTTAGGTGGTGCAAATCCCTTCAGACAGTGTCTAGTCTACTGAATCAATTGTCTTTTTCTTACAGATTTATAGTTTTTTAATAAACAAATTGATTTTATAACAAATTAAGTTATATATATTTTTAAAGTCTAGTTCTTGGTTTGTTTTTTTTTTCTGAGTAGATGTGGGAGTACACCAAATCTTATTCAGTTGGGGGGCAGGAAAAACACAAGATAATAGAAATGGCAAAAAGGACAAGGGTGAGGGCTGGGAAGTAGTTCGGTGGTAGAATTTGTTGAAAATACCTGAGGCTGTGATTTGATTCCTAGCATAGGGAGGGAGGGGGTGGACTCCAAGGGAAGGGAGGCAGGCAGGCAGGCAGGCAGGCAGGCAAGCAGGCAGGCAGGCAGGCAGGAAGGCAGGCAGGCAGGAAGGCAGGCAGGAAGTTAGGTTTGATCTACAAAGTAGGTGGGGAAGGGTAAGACTTGGAAGAATTTTGCATGTGATGAATGATAGTTAAAGAAAAGAGAGAAAGGGTAAACAACTGATAATATAATTTAATAAGAACACATGAAATTAAAATGTAAAACTAATGAAATAATGAAGGGTTTTTTGGGGGGTATGAGACAGACTTTCTCTGTGTAGCCTTAGCTGTCCTGGCACTCGCTCTGTAGACCAGGTTGGTTTTGAACTCACAGAGATCCACCTGCCTTTGCCTCCTGAATGCTGGAATTAAAGGCATGCGCCACCACCGCCCATCAATGAAGGTTATTTTGAGGTGAAGAGAAAAAAATGAAATTCAAAACTTCAAGACTAGTACCATACCGTAAAAGGAGATTCGAAAGAAATACTGTGCCAGTGGTTCTTTGATGCAATCTCTGAGAAATCACTTTGCGGTGCTGACAGAGAAGTACTAGAAGGAAAGTGTGACTTTTATGAATTCAGTCTCAGTTTTTGAAGGTTTACTTGTATTTATGTGTATATGCATGCCTATATGAGTGAGTGCCATGTGTGTGGGGGTGGCCCAGAAGGCCGGAAGAGGGTATTGGATGCCATGGAGCTGGAGTTACAGGTGGTTGTGACCCACTTGGTGTGAGTTCTAGGAACCAAATTCGGGGGAAGGGAGGTGATGGGGATTGGACCCATAGCCTCAAACATGCCCCACCCTCAGCCCTCTCACCACATTCGCTACCCAAACTTACAAATGGCTTGCTGTAGACAAGCTGCTGGAGAGGCCACTGGATGAAGATGTACTAAGACCAGAGGATGTTCTGTCAACTCTCTGAAAGAAGGGGTGGCCCTTAGCAGGCTCATCGCTGGGCACACATGACTGCACCTATTATCCCCACAGCCACCCAGTCCACAGTTACAAACAATGGCAAAATGAACACATCTTCATGAATGTTTGAGCAAAGTTTTAAAAGCAATCCTGAGTTCCCATAGAACTTTTATGTCCCTGAGACCTTGTAGTCCATGATTCATGGATGACTGGTGGTACACAGAATGGAGAAATCATTCATTATGCAATTGGCAAATGCCTGCATTATGCAAACAATCTAACCTGGTCAGCTTCAGAGCGAATAGTAAATGTACAAATGTAATCTAATTGACAACACATACCATTGAGCTTTTCTCTGATAGCTTCTGATACGCATCTTTAGCAGCCGACTGCTTTGCTTCCTGTTTGGTAGCGCCTGAACCAATACCATAAGTTTTCAGCCCAATTTTGCATTTACAACAAAATCTAGGAAAAATGTGAGTATTCATTCGCATATCGAAAATATCTAATGTACGATTTGAAAAAAAAGAACCCTACACACAAATAAAGGCCTTAAGATCAGACCAATAAATTTTTTACCTTTATTTATATTTCCTACCTTACATAATATAAAACTCACAAAAATGGCCACTAATCTATCTGAATGACCACAAACAGTTGATACCCTAGTTTATACTTCCCAGGTGCCATTTACTTCTTTCTTGCTTCATTGAAAAATATGACAGCAAAACACCAAATGATGGTTTTAAAAACAAGCAAACAAACAAAAGGTTGTCAACCCCAAGTAAAAAGATTTAGAGGGAGGGACGGGATCTAGAGAATTTTCTAGAGCTGCTCAAATAGGAGAGAAACCGTGCTGTCAGAGTGGGGCTCACAGGGGTCAGTCGCAAGGGTGCACCACCACAGCAAGACAGCTCACCGATGAGTCTCAGGACCTCAGCCTCCAATCCTTGTTCACACACCACATCCCTCACAGCGTCTGTCTTCCCAGTGCAGGGCTAAGACCGCCCCTGCTGAGCCATGCTATTTTGTCTAAATCTTCAAATGTGAAGAGCAGCAGACACTCAGACAAGCAGTTCCCTAACTGAAAATGGGAGAGTCCTTTCATACAGGGGTAGAGCAGTCGTCAGACAGCTGCAGCTGCCACGGCTCAGGGGAGGGAAGAACCCTGCATCCCTCATGCATCGGCACCAGAACTCTTTCAAATGTTTAGCTCATTTATATGCACCTCAAAAATCAGCAGACCCCTCTTATCCCACGTTCAAAGAGCCAATAGATGACTGAAACTGTAGATTTTATTGGACCTTAGAAATACTCATCATTCTTTTTATACATTCCCATGATAAAGTGTAACTCATAAATAAGGCACAGTAAAAGACTAACAGTTAACGATAAACTAGAACAATTAGTGCAATATATTCTACTCCTAGGTTTGGGAAAGAGATCTTCCTTTCGAAACACAAAGCAAAACCAAGCAAAAGAAGGAGACTACTATAAAAAAAATCAGCCAAATTTGATTCCAATGGACCCCACAGCCTCAGGAATTAGGCATTTGATATTTATGAACCATTTAAAATATTTCATAGTAAGTGGGTAAAAGGGTGGGGCAAATACTTGTGGCAAACTACATACAAAAGCCTCTCAGGTTTATTGCTTGTATACAGTAGAACTGTAGGAGAAGCCAAACCATGTCTCACCTTTGGGGCGACTGGGTATTGGAGGTACACTGTTCGTAATTTACAGACAGATTTTCCTTCTGAGCATAACTATTGACAAGGCCTATGTAATTCCCAGAAAGTAAGCCTTCTGAAGCGTCCGTTTGACTATCCGCCTGCAAAAAAACAAAACAAAACAAAACAAACAAACAGAAAACAAACAAAAAAAGACTGTGCTTAATTCAAATCATGACTTATCATATGAAATTACTAAATAAGTAACATGAGAGACAATTTACCTGTTATGGATTTCTTAATTATATTTTCTTATTAAAAGTGTAACTATATGTGTATTAGGAAAAAAATCTTCAAAAATAAATTCTTTTTTTAATTAAAAAATCCTAAATGGCACATTAAAACTACATATAACTATGGTATATAACATGATGTTTTGAAATATATATACACCACACAATGGTTGAATTCAGGTAATTGCCATATTTATCACCTTATATGCATTTCTTCCTTTTTATGGCAAGGACACTTAAAATATATTCCCTTAGCAATTTATAAATACACAATTTGTCAAGTCACTCATTTTCTTTTTATAATTTCACTAAGAAAAACCAAGCTAGGTGTGCTGGTGCACAGCTGTTATCCCAGCCCTCGGGGAGTCAGAGGCAAAAGTATCAAGGCCTAACATCTACCTCATCTATTTCCTGCTGGAGCTTGTGAAGAGACTGCAGGACCTCTGTGACTTGGAGCAGCCGAGGGATACCTGAGAGGAATTTCAGTGAGGGTCCAGTAATGATGGTGTGCCAGAAACCAGAGGCCCTGAGCCAGACCAATGACTCATTGCCGCATTTGCAATGAATATTTATTTGCAAGTAAAGCTGATTGGACAAAAGGGTATACTGCTCCCAATGCCACTAAGACTAATGAAGTGGGTTTCTGTTGTTGTTTTCTTTATTTTGATTTGGTTTGTTCCTAAATTTTCTTTTGGGGATGAATATGCAAGGTTGAAGGGCAGATATGGGGGGACTGGGAAATGAGTGGAATTAGGGTGCAGGCTGTGAAATTCCCAAAGAATCAATAAAGAAATTATGTTTTCTTTTAAAGAGTATCAAGGTTAACCTGAGCTTCACAGAGAACCTGAGGCCAGCCTGAGCTACCTAGAAAGTCTGAGGACAGCCTGAACTATACAGAGAGCTTGGGGCCTGCCTGTCTTACCAAAACAAAACAAACCAGGCCCATTTTCTTGTTTTACTTGCGAAGATTTATTTTATTAACTTTATTTGTTTTAAAATTTGTGTGGTGGGGGTGTGTGAGCACGCTCGAATATGCATAAGGGTGCCCAAGGAGGCCAGAAGATGGTTGTGATCCCTTGGAGCTGGAGCTATAGATGGCTGTGAGCCATCCAAGGTGCTGGGAACTGAACTCTGGTCCTCTGTAAGAGCAGTACCCACTCTGAACATCTGAGCCCTCCCTAGCCACACACACCTCTTCTTTTTCATGAAAATAGTATTGCAACACTTTCTAGCATGCTGCAACCTTTCTAACCTCAAAACAAGGAGTAAATGATTGAAGGGCAGCTCTGTGTTGGTTCCCAAGTTAACGGGAAAGATGTACACAGAAGCAGCCTTGTTATTATCTGAACCTTCATTGTTTCCCACCAGATCATGAGTCTTCCAAAAAACTAGATTTGAATTTCATTCATCCTTACTACTATTTGTGTTCTTCTACATAAATTTCCATCACTGTTATAGTCTTTCTTCCACTTTGAGAGGGAAGTTATCTTTTGACTCATTTTTTAAGCTTATTAATAAGAGAATTTGTGATTTTTCTTGGTTGCTTTTGAGTTGATTATAAGGATGGCATCTTCAAGTAAGATTATCTGCAAGTATGTTGGAAGGTAAAACTTCCCAGGTTTATCTGAGGGTGATTTTTCCCATCTCACATACAAATCACTTCCTGCCCCATTTTGCAGCCACTGCTCCTGCCTCCTGGTTTTTGACATTGTAGCAAATAACATGAGCTTTTTACCATCAGCCTTGATGTTTGTAAAGTTCCTCCTCCTTCCCGAGAGTCAGCGCTTTGATAACAATCAATGTTGCTCTTCGTGCTTCCGTATTTTCCTGTACCTATGGAGTTCACTTCATCTAACACAGTATCTTCACTTCATAAACACTTTCAGCTGAAATACCCCCAGATGGCTTTGTTTGTTTGATATTTTAAAGAATTGTATCCTGGGTCTTTTGCATGCTAAGCACAGGACTATATACCTCCCAACCTCCCCAGGGACCAGATAGATGTGTTTATCATGTGTTTGTTTGACGTGCTATTTACGCTGTTTGCACCTTCAGGGACACCAGTGTTGTGTATGTCGGTCCTCTGTTCTTTTCTTCCAGGTACATAGTTCTTCCTATGAGGACTTGCATGACTTTCTCTGTTCTGTTTGCTTGCTGAGTTGGAAGGGACCCCCTCCTAGCCCTTGTCAGCCCACATCCCACTGAACAGTAAGTCTCATCTGTCTCATGTATTCAACTAAAGAACACGTAAGTGTTGCTAGCACTCACTTAGAAGTGACAGCTCTGTCAACAATTTCCCTGGTGTATTTCTCACTCAGGAGAAATGGAGATAGGAAGAAAAAAAGAAATAAAACTTTGAATGAGTGGTTTTACACTGGCACATGTATTTTCTCACTGAGAGAAATTATATGTACCAGGGGTAAAAAGCCAATTACTCACCTTGTTTTCATTAAGTCTCTCAACAGCTAATTGGGCAGCAGCATTTTTTGCTTCCTGCTTTGTTCTACCCTCAGCTTCTGGAAATTCTTCCCCGTTTATTATAACTTGAAATGTAAACCTGATTAAGAAAGACAGTATTCACAACATATACACAGCTGGTGATTTACCTAACGACACGCTGGGATCAAAGGCATGCACCACCACCCCCAGCTCACACTCAGTTCACTATGTGGATGCTAGGGATTCGAACTCAGGTCTTCATATTCACACAGCAAGAACTCTTATCCACTGAATCACCTCTGTGGCCCTAGTCAGACCTTTTCTGATGGCAACATACCTTCTGTCATGTGGAGGTCCTGTAATATGAAGTTGCTTATACGTAATCATTACTTTATGCTTCTGGTGGTATTTATTAAGTTTGTCCATGTAGAAACCCGGTGTATCACTGGCCATTTTTCCTTCCAGTAACCTGCAATTGAAGAAGTGTCTGTACACATGACACTAACAGACTACATCTAATCTGATTTTCCCAACCCACTAAGGAGACCATGGGAGACAGTGGTTCTTCTCAACTTGACTCACCTCAGCTTCACAGAAATTCAGAGGACATTTTGTGTCAGGATCATTCCTTCTCTCCTCCTAAACCATCTATTTTCAAAACTACTGGCCAAGGAAAGAGGGTCCTGTGCTTTGTTCTACTCCTGTTTTCCAAGGTGTGAAATGTTCCAGGCTGTTTACTTTCTTGAGAAGGCATTAAAAAGTGTAGGAGTGGAATTACAGCTTTTATGCTAAAAACAAGGCTATTATACATATATTGCTATATATTATACATGCACACGTGCACACACAACTGTGTACACAAAAATGACTACATATACACACACAACACACATACACACATGACTATGCATGCATATGTTCATTTGCACAAGTGCATGTGTGTACTTGTGTACACACACACACACACACACACACACACACACACACACACACAAGAAAATAGGCTATTACCCAGGAGAAAGAAAGGGAGAAATGTGTGTTGGTATAGATATATTTAACATGCTTTAGACATTATACAATGTCTACATTTATCAATGTCTCCCAATGCCCAATAAATCCAGAAAATTTTCTGTTTCTATGTATCTATTTAAAAGTGAATTGGAAATTTCAAGGTTGAGTGGGCTGGAGGTATAGCTCATTTGGTAGAGGGCTTGTCTAGTATGCACAAAGCCCCAAGTTTGATCCCTAACACCACATAAAATGTAATTTTCCTTTTTAAATTTTAAACAAGCTTCTTCACAATGTGATCTATTAAAGCCGCAGTTCTCAACCTATGGGATGCGACCTCCTTGCAGGTTGAACAGTCCTTTCACAGGGACTGCATATCAGATACTTACATTATGATTAATAATGTAGCAAAATTCAACAGTAGCAAAATTACAGTTACAAAGTAGCAGTGAAATAATTTTATACATGAGAAACTGTGTTGAAGGGTTGTAGTATTAGGATGCTTTAAAGCATCATCCAATCTTGGAGCCTCTACAAGCCACCAAGACTGCTCTTGTGACATTCCCAGTGGCTTGCTCATTGCCAAATCCAATAGTCAATGTCGGTCTCTCATTCCCAGCTCCCTCCTCCCTGCTTCTTAGCTTAGGGTTGTGAGACACCTGGGTTTTCACCCTATCTATTTCACAAGCTGTACTTTCTCTGTCTTCTTTCCTGGTCCCTCTTCATCTTCTTCTCATCTAAATATTGTCCAAGGGCCCAGTCCTCAAGCCTCCTATTCCCTACTTACCTTCTCTCCTGGTGATCACCTCCAGGCTGTGGCTTTACATTCTACCTACACAGTGATGGTTCTTACCAGGGTTAGCAAGATGGGTCAACAGGTAAGGGAGCTTGCTGCTGAGACTGGCCATCTGAGTTCAATCCCTGGGGCCTACATGGTGCAAGGAGAACCAACTTCCACAAGTTGTTCTCTGACCTTGACAGGCTTACTGAAACACATGTACACACACATACACACACTAGTACACACGCATACAATAAAAAATAAAACTAAATAAATATGTAGCTGGAGGGATGCCCAGTAGTTAAGAGCACTGCTGCCCTTCAAGAAACTCCAAGTTTGAGTCCCAGCACCCAAAGCAGACAACTCACAACCTCCTTGTAATTCTAGCTTCAGGGGATCTGATACCTTCTCTGGCTACCAAGGTAACCTGCAAATTCTTTAAAGAATAAATGAATAAATCCATGTAACAGTTTTAACTGAAAAGGGAAGGAAGGCTTGATATAAATGAATGAATGAATCCATCAATGAATGAAGACCAAGGTACCTCCCAATTCACACTCCCATGAATTGGAGCCCTCTGTCTACTGGGCAATTTTTATTCACCAATTAGGATGTGCCTGGCCTTTGAGGCTGCAGGGGCAGCTAGTATCACTTCTCCTCCTCACCACCCTCATCACAGCCTACTGCTCTATAACCTAGTCAGTGAACACACCAGGTAGCAGCTATAGCTCTTACTCATTCACCCAAAGAGCTGTCCATCACATACACCAACAAATGCCACCTGCATATCCCACCTATGTTCAGAAGACACTGGTCTCACTCCCTGCAGACTAGGCCCCCAGAAACCTGAGGCCCTTCCAGCATACAATACACATTCAACTTGTATCTGCTGTATAAACGAGCAAGCTGCAAACACTGTTCAGCCCGGTCAGATTCACAGGACAAGCAGAAGAGCGAGAGTCCAGTCTGTACAAAATTCTAAGGTCCTGGGCAATTAATTGCCTAGAGAGTGTCTTTAGTTTCTGGGAGGCAAGGCACTTTCAGTACTAAACATGCAACAGGAAATCTCCTTTGTCTAGAATTTAAGATTATTTGTGAATTAACATCTATTTAACATACATGTAGTGAGCATTTGTCAGGCATTAGGTGCTAGATACAAGCAGATAAAAACTGCTTTTGGGATCTTACTTGTAGAAGGATACAGACAAATCATGGTACTAAGTATTAGTTGGAAAATGGAGAAAAATACGGGGGAGCGGGGCAAGGAGGGCAAGAGTGGAGGTTCTTGCTCAGGGAAAGCTGCTTATACAGTTAGCTCTGTGAGAAGGCCTGGATATTCAGAGGAATCTACCCATGCAATTACTTGAGTGGGGTGGGTGCGGGGAAGGGCTTTCCAGGAAGTAGGAAGAGGCACCACGAAGGCCCACAGCTGAAGGGTACTTGGCTGTGGCCCAGAAGCACCAAAGAAGTCTATAAGTGGAGGGCACTGGGGGCTTTGCCTGACCCTAGGGGTCATAGGTGTGGTAGAGGTAGGAGCAGGAAAGCAAGCATCGGTTTCAGACTTGAAGGAAACTCTGGTGCAAAGAGAAGAGCAAGGTGGAGGATGGAGCGGGACTCGGCTGACACAGAGGCCTGCCAAATGGAAAACCATCACAGCTGTGCAGCCCCAAGTCTTTGCCTGGTTTTTTTGCCAGTATCCGGGTCATACGGGCTTTCAAATTTCCCTCCAGAGTTTCAGGTCATCGGGCTTGTCACTTTCCTTCTAGGTCCCTTGCCCCGCTACCGCTGCCCAGGAGGAGTGGGAAAATAGCCCTCAGGTCTTACCGAGTTCCTGGATCTGGACAGTGGCCGCTGGTTTAGGATTCGAATTACGCTTCGGGTGCTAGCTCTGAGATCGCTGTCGCCTGCTGCCTCTCAATGTCGCGGCTTGGTCAGTGGAAGGCCAGGCTAGGCCTGGCCGGTTCCCTCTGTTTCGTTTTCCCGGCGGACTCCGCCTTCCCGCACTCAGCCCCTCCCGCACCGGCTTGTATCCGCCAGAGGACAGGCAGGCTTGTTGCCTCTGTCCCAGTGCGCCAATGTCCGGATAGCCTCCGCACTCCCGCGCAGCTACAGTGGCGGCTTGCGGTAGATGCTTTCCCAGGCTTCTGGACATTTTATGGCTGCTATTTGGGAAAATTCTGCTGGAAGATGAAGGAGAAACTCAAGTCTCCTTCTCGCGGTGCTTAGCAGGTTCTGGGATCAATGATCACATCTGATTTTCAAAGCAAACTTTTAGAATGCAGCTGGGTACATGGATGCTACCGAATTCCAACACAGTGGGAGACATCGAATAACTCACAGAAGGGTCCTGTCAGGCTGTGGGTATGACAGTCAAGACAGTTCAAGTCTAGGTTTGGAAACATTAGTCTTCCTCTTCCCTTTTCACACTACAGCAGAGTCGAGGAGGACATGGCCGTCTTGACAAAATCGACCAGGGAGTAGAAGGAATCTCTCTTCAATGTATTCTCATTTGTTCATTCCTTACCTGCCAGTTCCTTGTTGCATACTATCCATCAGGCCAAGGCAGCAATTAAGAACCACCTGCTCCCAGGAGGGTCTCGAGGACTATTCTATCACAAGGCAACATCAGCAGTCCTGGTTGATGAGAAATCCTACCCTCCTGTAAGACTGTAACTCATCCTCAGAGAGTCGCGATGGCTGGCACGGGGCTTAGATTGGTCATCATTTAGTTTGTGACTCACACTGCTGTGGTTCATCCTCAGGCCAGGACTTTGAGCTAAGCACTGTCTCCATCCCCACTCAACAGATGAGGAGAACTCAGGAGCTAGACTTAGAACCAAGAAACTGTACTCCCAACATGAGGTAGGAAAGTCCCAAGACAGACCCCCAAATATACAACAAACACTGCATCCTATCTATACCTTTCTTTTATCTTTCGTGGTAAGGTAGTATGACAACAGCCCGAGTCTACGGTTTTCTTGTACCATGGATCCAGGTTGTGATTTGAATTCTCTAAGTTTCTAAAAAAATTAGAAACTCTGATGAGACTTTTAGGCAGACCTGAGGTATAGCCATCTATCTTTTAGTCACATTTCCAAGCGATTAAAAAGGCTCTGTCAGGGCTGGAGAGATAGCTCAATGGTTGAAATCATTGGCTGCTCTTCCAGAGGTCCCAAATTCTGTTCCCAGCAACCACATGGTGGTTCACAACATCTATAATAGGATATGATGCCCTCTTCTGGCGTGCAGGTACACATGCAGAGCAGTCATACATAAAACATAAATAAATAAAATTTTTGAAAAGGTTCTGTTAGAGGTGGGTGTCTGCTACTTCTGTTGTCAGTTCTGTAAGTGTGAGCTGGGTATAGAAGCAGAATTGGATGTGTCAGGGAGCCTCCAATCTGCCCAAGATAGTTTAAGAAATACATGACAAGCTGGGTGGCGGCGGCACACACCTTTAATCCCAGAAATTGGGAGGCAGAGGCAGGTGGATCTCTGCCAGTTCGAGACCAACATGGTCTCCAGAGTGAGTTCCAGGGCAGGCTCCAAAGCTACAGAGAAACCCTGTCTCGAAAAAAAAAAAAATATATATATATATATATATATATATATATATATATATGACAAACTCAACTCAAGCATGATTATACCACACATGCAAAGATCTTTTATTTCGTGTAATCTCTTGGGTGATTTAAAAATCTGTTTCCAAGTCTGATGTTGCGAGTTGCAGAATTACAAAATATTGACTAGGTCTCTTCTGTTTTGGAAAGAGAGCAACTCAGGAATGTAGGTGGATTAAGATGAATCCATGTGCCTTTGCCCTGTCAGATTCTGTTGTCCCAACAGGCTTTCCAGTCTTTGTCTGATGAGATTGGCATCACCTAGAATGAAGAACCTGAAGTAGTCACCTGAAAATAATGAGGAGGGGGTGCTGGCTCACCAAACAGCCCCTCCTACCTGTCCTTTCACCCCTACAACTAGAATTAGAGGTTAACACATCCCAAAAGGATATGAACAAAATCTAATGGAAGGAGATAGTTTACATGACAAAGGAATGCCACTCATTTATAGACAGAGACCCAAGAAGTATGAATGGAAGCGATTCTGAATTTGGCCTGAAGGAGGCAGGTGTGTTACTCCAACAGCTGAGCCTGGCTGCAGTGGTCTGCTCAGCTGGTGTCCTGCAGGTGAAGAAATTAAAAACACACAGGGAGAGCTGGGCATGGTGGTGTATGCCTGTAATCCTAGGTGCCAAAAGGAGGATCAAGGTCAACCACAGCTACATAATAAGTTGGAGGCCAGCCTGGGCTACATGAGATCCAGTCTTAAGAAGGAACATAGGTTAGAGGAATATAGCTCAGCTGGTAGAGTGTTGGCCACCCATGGTTCTGTCCCCACACTGCAGTGACCAGACGTGGTGGTTCAGATCTGTAATCTCTGTCCTGGGGAGGCAAAGTTCAAAGTCATCTTCAGCTACAGAGCAAGTCTGAGGCCAGCCAGCCTATACTACAGGCCACTCTCATAAAGAAACGCCCACCCACTCAGGGAGTCGAGAGTAGGAGGCATAGAAGGATTCACAACTTGTTCACTCACTCTAACCATAGCCTGGAGGGAAGATCCAAAGGCACCTCCTTCAGTGGCTACCACTTCAGCCAGATGCTCTGCTATCTGGAAGGAAATGCTGACAGTAAATCGTCAAATGGAATGGGCAGAGTGAGTAGGCTGCCACCCCTCGAGAAGGTTCAGTAAATGCATTCCTTTCCACAGAAGCTTTTGTGAGCAGGTGGCAAGGAGACCTCGCCGTCAACTCCCCCCACCAGCAGGTGGCAAGGAGACCTTGCTCTTAACTCCCCCCCCATTATTGAACCCTCACTACAGAAGCTATTGCAGCTAGTGAAAGTTTATCAGGATCAAGTCATCACAGAGCTTCAGTGAGCCCCGAATTTCTCATGGAGGAAGTGTTTTTGTCCCTTTGGGGTGAAACTTTTTCTCTCATTAGTTTTTGCATTTCTTTCCTGCAACTTTGTGTTTTGGTACAGAGTTTGTTAAACCTTTTGGATTTCTGAATTTCTAATAATTTGAATTGAAAAGTTTCAGCCGTATGTTTATCTGTTTTCAACACTTCTTTCTCTCCTTCCTTCTTTCCCTCCCTCCCTTCCTTTCTTCCTGAATTCCTATTACATTTGTATTTCTTTTGTTGTCCCATAAGTCACTAAGTCCCTGCTCATGTTGTCTGTGAATTTCGCCCACTCATGTAGCGTAGCTTTCTACTGCTGTGAGTTCAGTTCTCACGGTGTCTTCTTCTTCACAATCGAATGTACTTTTTACTCACACAGTATATTGTTCATCTTACATGTTGTAGTTTTTACCTCTAAAATTTCCACTTAAGTCATTTTTAATCATCCCTTTTCCCTCTTATCATGTTAATTTTACTTTGTACCTTTGAGCATATATGCATCTAACTATATATAGCACACACATTTGACTGTTGAATTAATATCCCCCATGTATAAGTTGGCTTTTTGAGGCAGGATCTTTTTATATAGTCTAGATTGGCCTTCAAGTCACAATTCTCCTGCTTCAGCCTCCTAAGTGCTTGATTATTGGTGTGAGCCACCATGCCCAGCCTTTTGAGCACATCTATAAGATGTATACTATCTCTTTAAAGGTGTTTGCTGATTTCCCAATCACAATCATTTGTTTCTGTTAATTGCTCTCATTCTTGGTTATACATCACATTTTCTTCTTTGTATACTTGGAAATCCTAATTGGATAGCAGACACAGTACAAAGGGCTTTATTTTCTTCATTTAATTTTGGAATCACTGAATTTTTTGGTCTTACTTTGTTTTTCCTGGGATTATAGGAGCGAAGCATTGTGCCTCAATGGCAATTTTGCTTTGTTTCTGTTTTATCCAACTGTTTTATTTATCCAAGAGTTTATTACTTTCCTTCCTTCTGATCCTTAAGGCTTGCTTTAGATCTTTGTTATGGCAGATCTAGGCTAGTTTATCAGGGCCAACTGAGCTGTACTACTGAGGTCTGACCATTCTGAGGGGGCTAGCCCACGTCTTACTCTGGTGGGGGACATAAACCCTTCCCACCCCTGAGAGACATCCAGGAATCATCTCTGGCTCACTATCCCAACAGTCTTCTTTCTGTTGCTCTCTTTGCTTGTTTGAGTCAGGATCTGACTGGAACCACAACTTGTCTGGAACTTGATTAGACAGGCCAACTACATACTTGTAGTATGACTTCTGCCTCTGCCTCCCAAATGCTAAGATGACTGAGGAGTGCCAGGTAGGATAGTCTTTCTAGAAAATTCTCTACATTCTCTTGTTAGTTCCACATGACTACTTATGACCCTGCAGCAGAAAAATCTATGTGGTACAAAACCATAAGTGTGAGCTTTGACTTAAAGAGTGTATTAAGTAGAACTGTGAAGACTCTTCAGGGAAGTGCTTCCAGAGACCTACGGGCATGGCAGGCCCAGAGTAGATGAAGATGAATTTATCTTGAATCAAATTGGAGCTTGCTAACCTTATATCGTATTAACCTTATGTCAATGCAGAGTCAGAATTGAATTTCACTCTGCATTATGTCTGAGATAACTACTACAAATATTTGAACCATGGTGAGAAATTTCCTAATGAGAAAAGCTTAAGAAAATGTATAGCATTTGGAAGCCCATTTTGTGTGAGTTCAACCCTAGAATAACAAATTGACAACAATGTTCCAGTTCTTCACAAAGGTGACAAACTTTAATTTGAGCTCAAAAAAATTCAGCTGTTACCATTCTCACTATTCAGAATTACATGTTACTTGATTGTTATTATGTGACTATTTTATTGAATTATTGTCTAAGTATATAAATCCAGTTATTATTAAGGAAAGAAAATGTGTAGGCCTGCCAACTTGGCCAGAATCAAGCCAGGCAGTGTGACTCATACTTCAGCTTGACTCCGAGGGAAGTACCTGCTAAGCACTCTTTGAATCTTTCATCCATTTCCTGGTTCTGAGTTTCATTAAACAAATTTTTCCAATCACCAACTTCACCTACAACACAGAGAGCACAAAGATTCACATGTATGTTAGGATATTCTTAATTTTAATCCTGTATTCTACCCAATTTTACCTTTTTTTGAATTGCAGTGCTTCACTTTGAAAGGCTAAAACAGCATAGTTATGGTGGCTTGAATAAGAATGGCCCCCATAGGTTCATATATTTGAATGCTTAGGGAGTGGCACTATTTGAAAGGATTAGGAGGTGTGGCCTTGTTGGAGTGGGTGTGGCCTTGGAGGGGTTGTGTCACTGGGCGGTGGGCTTTTAGGTTTGAAAACCAAGCCAAGCCCGGTGGCTCTCTCTCTTCCTGCTGCCTGCAGATCTAGATGAAGAATTCTCAGCTGCCATATCTACCTGCATTCCGCCATGCTTCTTGCCACGCTGATAATAAACTTGTAAGCAAGTTCCAAATAAATGCTTTATAAGAGTTGCCATGGTCATGATGTCTCTTCATAGCCATTGAACACACTGACTAAAACAATAGGTTTAGTTTATTATCAGCATGGCAGGAAGCATGGCAGAATACAAGCAGACATGTAGCTGAGAGTTCTGTATCCAGATCCTCAGGCAGCAGGAGGAGAGAGCCACGGGGCCTGGCTTGGGCTTCTGAAACCTGAAGTCCACTCCTTGTGGCACACCCTCTCCAACAAGGCCACACCCACTCCAACACCAAGCACCTCCAAAGACCACTGCATGCACACCTCGACATGCGAATGTGAGCCCACACATACACACACATATATACACACACACACATGTACATACATACACATACATACATGTACATACACATAGAGGATAAATAAATGCATGAAAAAAATAAATTATTTCTTTCTATGGAATCTTTGAATGTTTTTAGTGGAAATGACAAGCTCTATGTTGCACAGCCATTGAAATGTGTGCTGATGAATTGGGCTCACTGGCATGAGAAAATAGCTATGATGCATTAAGGAAATGAAACAAGACATAATACTGTCCCCCAATGTCAACAACTACACCCAACAGAAAAAGGCTGGGAGGAAACATATCAAAACTCAAAACCTGAGTCAGGTGGGAAAATTTAAATTTTTGATGACATCAGTAAATGACTTGTGTTTTATTTTCATGCCCTTCCGTATTTTCCTGCCTTCTGGACTCTCTACAAGGAACACAGATGTACTTCATTGTAGGAGTTTTCTATTCTGAGTAACACTTAATGAACAGCAAATAGAAAGGTCCTAGTTTCCCCTCCTGAAAGCTAACGAAATCAGGTAAAGAATCAGGGTTATACAGGCACCCAGCTACAGCGGGTCCCTATTCCATCTTCCGTTCATACTGGATATCTGACAATGGAAAAGCAAGATCCTGGAGCTTCAGCTTTTCCCCTACATTGCAAAATCAGCTCTTTGTATCCTTTTGTTATAAATTTGAACCCCAGCACAGCATTCTAGTTAGTACACATCAGTTCCTTGTTAGCTGTGGTCATCCTTGCTGTTCCATACAATGTCTTTAAATCTTGTGATAGGGGCGGGGAGGTGGTAGCACACACCTTCAATCCCAGCACTCAGGAAGCAGAGGCAAGTGGATCCGCTGTGAGTTCAAGGCCAGTCTGATCTACATAGCTAGCTCCAGGACAGGCTCCAAAGCTACAGGGAAACCCTGTCTCAGAAAAGAAAAAACCTTGTGATAGGGTTGATGAGATGGCTCAGTGAATATGGGCACTCCAAGCCTAACAACCTGAGTTCTAGCCCCAGGTCCCATATGGTGGAAGGAGGGAACTGACTTTCATAATTTGTCCTCTAACCTTCTCATGCATTTCATAGCGTGATGTGTGTGAGTGCGAGTGCACACGCGCGCGCACACACACAAACACACACACACACACACACACTAAATGTAATAAAAATTTTAAACATTGTTATATTTTCATTAAATATGCAATAAAAAGAAAGTGGAAAGTCCTAAACTATAGAATTGTAAAATTTGATAAGAACTTAGAATACTTTAACGAAATTAAGTAAAATCATCTGTGAAGCACCTGATTACTTACCTAGTGACCGTTTTCTCCTTCTTCCTTATTAGCAAAACTCTGATTTTAAGTGAGTAACAATGCACCTGGCTTAAATAAGAAAACTGCATTTCCAAGGACTGCTATAGGGAGAGAGATGATGACTGAACGCAAGCAGCCACTGAAAGGGACTTGGTGGAAAGCTCTAGAAGGGGACGGATTAACTTCCTTCCTTTGCTGTTTCATTTTTCCTACCTGAGACTTGAATATTCAAGCTCCAGCTTCCATTTTGCTGTCACTGGGCACTTAGTACATAAAGGACAGTTGACCACTGTCAGTTGTAGCTCCAGGCTCCCCCGGTCCTGAATTCTTATTCAAGGAGAAAAAGTTAAAGCCTTGTCTTGTTTCAGACAAAGTGGTTTGGCTTGCCTGCTAAGTGCAAAGTCACCGTGAGGCTGACACAACACCCCACAGCAGCAACTTTACCTTTGCGGAACAGGAAGGGGCCAATAGCACCATGTGTCTCCTGAGAATTTTCTCGCATTGCTTGGAAGGTGCTCTGGTCTGAGACAGCTCGTATTTGTTCATCAGTTAGAGAGAAGCCAAGGAATTCAGAGATCTGTTTTATTCCAGCAAGTAGATTCTGAAAGAAAAATTTGAAAGATAAACAACTTTCAGTGGGATTTACTGAGGCAATGCTTCTCTTAAATCAGTGTTATTTATCTATACATCTATCATCTATTCATCCATCCACCTATCCATGTATCTACCCACTATCTACCGATCTATCTATCTATCATCTATCTATTTATCATATCTAGCTATCTACCTATCTATCCAATCTATCTATTTTTTTAGAAAGGGTATAATATAACACAGACTAGCTTTGTGGTCCTGATTCTTTCACTCCTTCCTGGACTGAGCAAAAATGAGGGAAGTAGGTCCCCCTACTTCAGTTCACAACCAAATATGTTTGGTTAAATTAATTGAGCCCGAACTACTGTTTCTTCCATTACTAACATGGACTGCCCATCACAAAGGGAAAAGACAGCAGTTATTAAGTTTCAGTCACTATTTTATTTGCCAAGCAAACAAACCAAGCCTTTTATGTATAGTGGGCTTTTTCTAGTTTTTTTATTATATATCTAGAATTTTAAAAATTGAATAAGCTATTTGTTCACACAATTAGACATCCTAAGTATGTGCACTGTGCTGTAGTCTCAAATATTGTCCTTGAATATCAATGGCCATAATCTTACCTCTTTCAGATCTTCATATAACATGAACTTCACATTTTCATCATCAATATGTTTGTTCCAATTAATTGCAAAATCAAAATAGCTTCCCCAAGAAACTAAAAAGCACAGGAGAAAAGACTTTCTAAGTAACTACGTAACTGAGGAAAGTAGATACATAGTTATGGGTAGATGTTCAAGAGACTATGCCTATTGCAAATCTGTCTCCAAAGAGGTGTCTCACTGTCCATTTCCATCCATGTCTTCCTTTTTGAACATTTTCCATTAATAATACAACTGAGCAAGTCAGAGCTGTGAGACATTCATGAGACTGGGGGAACGAGATGATTTAGAAATCATATACAATGCCTGGGTTTTCCCACTGTTGCTGTGATAAAATACTCTTACTAAATAAAATACTCTTAACAACTTATGCAAAAAAGGTTTGCTTCAGTTTGCAATTCAAGATTACAGCCCATCATTGTCAGAAGTTACAGAGGCAGGAGCTGAGACGGCTGATCTCACAGCATCAATAGGATATTCAGCTGCCTGTAGAAGTTGAATGTGAGAATTTAACAAAGAAGAAATCCTGTCCAAGTTATCACTGCCACATCTTACTGCCAATCAACTAAGCAGGCAGAAAGAATGAATGCAGTGGGGAAGGTTCTTTATATAGTCCACAGTTAACAAACACATCATTGAATGCCCCATCCTAATGTGCATGTGTGGAGCAGTGTGATGGACAATCTCACTCCACACAATCTCTGTGAAGAGTTTCTAGACAGAGGCATGCTAAGCACTGCTTCACAAGCATCTGCTAATGAGTTTTCCTCGATGCTATGACACAATCCAATATTTGTCTTTTCTAGGGAGCCAGTACTGTATATAGTGTCCATGATGGGGAATGTTGTGGCATTTGCTGTGTCAAACACCTTTCAAAGTGGCCGTTATAAATTGTGGTGTATAGCGACAACATGGAATAGTAAAATAGAGATGCTGACATTGATGGCATACATGAACCTCAGAGGCATCATACTAACTAAAATAAGGAAGAAGGCAAAACACTGAGCTCAGTTGCATGTGGAATCTTTTTAAAGGCTGAGTTCATACAGAAATCAGGTTGGTGTCTCCGGGGAAGGGGAAGAAAGGAAATGGGTAGATGTTAAGTCAAAGTTACAACCTTGATGTAATTTTGGAGTACTGAGTTATGAATAAGTCTAGTGTTCTAGACTTCTAGATCTAGAGCAACAGGACTGTAGTTATAAATACTGAATTGTATAATGAAATATTGTCTGCTAAGGGAAGATCAAATATATGCGATTCTTTCTCTATACACAGAGAAGCAACTGTGTGACATGATGGACAGATATGTTTGACTTTAGTCATCATTTCATTATGTGTGTATGGAGCAAAAGATGGCGCCCATCTTTGTAGGGAGACACCGTAACCACACCTCCTAAGGGCTGGCTACAGGTGTGCTTGACCATGCCTGTTAGGTTCTTAAGGGGCTGTGGACACGTGGGGACCCCTTCTCTCTGGCCTCCCTGCCTTGCTGCCCTTGGGCATGCTCTGACTTGCATTTGGCTGGTATTTATCTGAATAAAGGTATTTTGAATCTACAAGCCTTCTCCTTCACATCTTAAATACAACAATTTAAAAAATCAACTTAGAGAAGTTGTAACAAAATTTTTCCTGAGGAGATGCAACACACATGTCTACTCAATCCAGATAGGGAACCCCCAACAGACCAAATATAGACACCACCAAAGTCCAACTTAGTGAATAATGAATTTTATTGGGGTTTCTTACAGAAGTATGGGTGACAGGTTACTTACAGGAGTAGAAATGACTCGAGGACCGCTGCATCACCAAGGCTCATAGGTGACAGTTCACAAAAGTTGGGAAACCTGGAGCACACTGCATAGCCTACAGGCAGCTCAACAGGTTGGAGAGTGTCCTTTTCAAGTTATTATGGTCTAAACCTGTTCTGGGGAGTTCAGCTGGCTTCTGCTTCTTCCAGGCAAGTAGGCCAGGTCTCAGGGTTTTCTTTGCAGCTCAGCCTCACTCCCTCTGAGAGGGGCTCTAAGCTTTATTATTCTAATCTCAGAGGAAACTGCTATACAAAATGTTCTCTGAGAGAGACAGACAACATTGTCTCCTCTAACGTCATTTAGGCACTATTAAAAGGGGACACTTAAAGACCTCTGGTCACCGTACACATAGATTTAGACTCACTACCACTTAAACAAGTGCGACAATTAGCAATTGATAGAACATTTTGTTAGTGTTCTTAACTATACAGTAAGGCCTTCCTCTGGGTGTTCATGAGTCTTAAGGGAAAGCCTGTCTATGACAACACCTAGTTTAGTATCTGACAAAGCAGTAATAGTTAGAGATTTATAGTTTTTTAGAGATTTATAATTAATAGTTACAGTTTCATCATGAAAGAAGGAAGAATTCTCAAGGCCCCATAACTCGGTGAGAGACTTAACAGGTAATGATGGTGGGTAGAGGGTGTCACTCTCTTCTGTGGTACAACCACCCACACTGTATATGCTTCTCACCCATGCTCACGTGAGTGAGTGGTGGTTTGAATGAAATGTGCTCCGTAGACTCAGATAAATGGACACTTGCTTCCATGTCAGTGGGTAGTGCTGTTTGGGTAGATTTAGGATGTGTGGCCTTGCTGAGGAAGTGTGTCACTGGGGTCGGGCCTTGAAGTTTCAAAGTTCAGGCCATTTCCGGTTCCCTCTTTCTCCTTGTGCTTGCACTTTAAGATGAGAGCTCTCAGTTTCCAGCTGCAGCCACCATGCTGCTGTTCTGCATCATGAACTCTTATTCTTCTGGAACCGTAAGCCCAAATAAACTCATCTATCTGTCTGTCTGTCTGTCTGTCTATCATCTATCTATCTATCTATCTATCTATCTATCTATCATCTATCTGTCTATCTACCATCTATCATCTATCTATCATCTATCTATCTAGCTATCTATCATCTATCTAGCTATCTATCATCTATCTAGCTATCATCTATCTACCTACCTACCTGTCCATCTATTGTCTATTTATTTTTGAGGCAGGGTTTCTCTGTGTAGGCCATGCTGTCCTGGAACTCACTCTGCAGACCATACTGGCCCCAAACTCAGAGATCCGCCTGCTTCTGCCTCCTGAGTGCTGGGATTAAAGGTGTGTGCCACAACTGCCTTACTTAAACTCCTTCTTCTATAAGCAGTCTTGGCCATGGTGTTTTATCACAGCAACAGAAAAGAAACCAATACAGTCACTCTATGTAAACTCAGTGAGTCACACATAAATAAAAGACAGGGAATAGGAAGGAGAATTGTTAGGGAAATAAAGATTTCAATGGGAAAAGCAGGAGGAATATGACAGGAAGATGGGGAGAGAAAAGGCTAAAATTTACTACAAACATATATGAAGTTATCAAAGAACAAAAATAAATAATTTATAATGGTTATTGATAACTAGAAATAAGATGTTTACAAAAATGTCTTAGGTGTAGTTATACAACTTTATGGGGTTTTTTATCTTCCTTGTTTTTTGAGACTGTGTAGTATAGTGACTTAAGGGAAATTAACTAGAAATACTTTTCTATATGACCCTTAAAATACATCTTTGTTTGAATCTCTTCTATGACCACTTTGTATTCATCGTCAACAAATGAACTCTCCAGAGCAGTGGTTCTCAACCCGTGGTTCAGGACCCACTTGGGGGGTCAAAAGACCCTTTTACGGGACTTACCTAAGGCCGTCAGAAGTATCACATATTTACATTATAATTTATAACATTAGCAAAGTTACAGTTATGAAGTAGCAATGGAAATAATTTTATGGTTGGGGGTCAGCACACCATGAGGAACTGTATTAAGGGGTAGCAGCATTAGGAACTTGAGAACCAGTGGTCTAGAGTATCTTTGAAACCAAAGGTGCACTGCAATTGCTTAAAGCATGGAACCCGTACTGCGGCTGTAAAACCTTATTTAAATGCAACCTTTTGGTTCCAAGATCTTCCTACATCTTCTTTACATTCACGTTTTCATATTTATGTATTTGCCTGTCGAAGGAAAAATTCTTGTGTTACCAGTCATACCTTGTCCCTGTATGAATTGTCTGAAGAATTCATCCCAAGAGGCATAGCTTGGAATGTCAGGGACATCGTTATGAAAGTGAAAAAAAGACGCTGCTGTATCCTTAGGGTTCCGAAATATCACCAATATCTAGGGATCGAACACAACATTAGCTTATGCAGTTTTCTATTTCGCACTTCGGAAAACTGAAAGGATGAACAATGTCAGAATTGTGTCAATACAGATAGCAAGAGGGACAGTGGGAAACCTCAGCTGGGGAAGGAAGTCTGGGGTACAGCACGAGAAGGAAGAGTGACCCTGCAGAGGACCTTGGCTGATAATAGTTCAGACGGTAAAGGCGCAGGTGGAGAAGATGCTACAAGGCACAGCAGAGCCATTTGACTAGCAGAGTCTCGGAGAGTGAAAGGTAAAACCCCAAATAATCGTAGACTAGTCTTAAGGGTCATGAGCACCAAGTGTAGAGGCGGTGTGTCTGTGGGAGTGCAGATGGAGTGGGACTCTCATTCCCACGGCTCTCTTCCCCAGTAACAGAGGTGGCTTCTGGATGAAAAGTGTGACATGAGCACTGGAAAGAGCGAACTGAATCCCAAGAGGACGGAGGGATTGTGGGAGGGGACCACGGGGTTAGTCGCAGAGTATGAGGCTGCTCCGTGTATGTATTCAAGACTTCAGAGGCTTCCGGTTTCGATTCTAAGACAAACAAGAAGGGCATCCCAAGAACACAGCGCCCGAAGGGACACCAGCCCACTCCAGCCCGTGGCTCTGGCAAGCCTTGCCCTTCTCCCCCGTGTCCCTCTACCTTGCTGAACCGTTAGGTTACCTTCCTAAAGCTAGCCCACTCAGTATTCCCTAATGTGGACACTTCCTCCTCCGGAGGCTGCCTACTTAAGTAAGATCCGGCTATCAAAGTATTAAAATCGGTCAATCAAAAGGCCCCTTTGATTCCCCTCATTAACATGCCCAATCAAAACATACCAGCGCACCCTAGCCCATGCTAACACAGACCTCCCCTTTCCTCTTCTTAAAAGTGATGCCTGCAAGGGCATTTGCGGCTGTTTTTCAGAGAGCAGCCAGCCAGCCACCTTAGCTCTCTTCCCCTCTTAATAAAGGATCTCTGTGAAAAAAGGCGTCTGGGTGTGTTTGTGTCTAATTTGGTCTGGGCGGGGGAGTCGGTC